ATTTTGTGTGTGTGTTTGTGTGTGTGTGTGTGTGTGTGTGTGTGTGTGTGTTCAGCATTGATTTTTAAGGCTCACCTTATTCATAGGTTCCCAGTGGGACTCTAGGCTCTTTATCTGTACCTCTCAGTTCTGTTTCCTTCAAGTTATTTTCTCATTTTGTTTAGTGCTTGCAGTGGTTAAGAATTTGTAAAAATGACTTTCCAAAGTTCATTTGAATTAATCTCTCTATTTCCTTTCTTTTTCTCTTTGTCTTAATAATGTTATTTATCCCTAGGAATTGAAAGAGGATCCAGCTTTCTAGGACTCACGAAGCAGACCTTTGTGACCTGAATAGCACCTCTCTAAACCTTGTATTCCATTGTCTTTGTTCCAGGAATGGTGGTTCCTTCTAAGACCAAAATTGTATGCCATTTTTCTACTCTTGTTTTGACCTGTGGGCAGCCACACACCCTTCAAATAGTTCCCCGCGATGAGTATGACAACCCTACCAACAATTCCACATCCTTGAGAGATGAGCACAATTACAGTTTGTCTATTCATGAGGTGAGCAGCCTCCCTCCCTTCTCTGTGTTCCAAGGAGAACACGCTCCTTTCTCTGTCATTCTCACCCCTTCTAATTCACGTCCATCTCTTCTCCCTGGCTTCTGTACTATCGTATCTTCATCTGATAATACCTATCTCATTAGTAATTTTGAGACTTAGATTAGATCATAGATAAGAAAGTTCTTTGTACAGAGTGAATTGCCTTGCAAATAGAGAAAATTAAGTATGTCAAGTGATGCTTTGTTTTCTTCCTGTAGCTCGGCCCTCAAGAAGAAGAGAGTACTAGTGTCTCATTTGAGAAGTCAGTGACGTCTAACAGGCAGACTTGCCAGGTGTTCTTACGACTCACCTTGCATTCTTGTGGCTGCTTCCATGCCTGCATTTCATACCAAAATCAGCCAATCAATAATGGTGAATTTGACATTATTGTCTTAAGTGGTAAGTTGGTAGAAAAGCTGTGATTTAGTCCTGATCCCTGGCTACTTCTTGTTTTGCATGTCTGTCCTCTTCTGACAGACCTCACAAACATTTGATATTTGAATCACACTTGGCTTAGTGTCCTATGGACTAAAGGACTAGCAATAGGTAATTTCTTTTCTCTCCTGACTCCTACACTAAACCTTATTCCTTGTTATGCTTCAGAGAATGAGAAGAATATTGTTGAACGCAATGTGTCCACCTCAGGAGTGAGCATTTACTTTGAGGCTTATCTTTATAATGCCACCAACTGTAGCAGCACACCGTGGCACCTTCCACCCATGCACATGAGCTCTTCTCAGCGACGGCCTTCCACTGCTGTGGAGGAGGAAGATGAAGACTCACCCTCTGAATGCCACACCCCTGAGAAGGTGAAGAAACCGAAGAAGGTGTACTGCTATGTGTCACCAAAGGTTGGAACTCCCATTCTTGCCTTAAAATCCCTTTGCCTGAGCCTGCATGTAGTTGCTTGGTATTTGGTACTAGAAACCACAGAATAACATTCTGAGTATCAGGGCAAGATCATTGACATGCAGGGTTTCTGGGACACTAAGAGAGGCTGCGTAAAGTTGAACAGAAGATTGTGCCACCTCTGCTGCTATAAATGCTTGGTTTGGACTAGACTAAATCTCTGTCTAGAGATTCTGTGTGCCTTGGTGCATTAAAGCACCTATGGCATTCTACCCTTTGATTGCTTCTGGGAAGATTTTTCAAGGCATGGCTCTCAGAGTTGCAAAGAGAGCTGCTTTTAACCATTAAAAATCTCACTAGTATAAAAATCACTGTCGGCCCCTTATGCTATATTGAAACAATTTGATCTTTCATTTTATGATTTGTGAAACCACAATAAATGGATGTCACTATCAGCCTACAAAATTGGAATAAAGAAATTTTGGCAGAGACAAGAAGGTGAATTTCCCAAGCCCCTGAGCTAAGAGACTCTTTGTGTTAGATAGTTTCTTTTTAGTATTTGTATTTTCTTATTCATTCAGTACTCATAAAAATGGCTCATAAAAATGTTGAAACATCCCATTCCATCCATTTAATCTCATAACCAAAACTGAGTTTTAATTTTGTTCTACTTCAGAACACTTTGCTGTGTACCATTCCTCATTTAAAAGTCTAGCCAATTATTAATTTGGACTGGGGGTGGGGGGGATAGTAATGAGGGAAATGAGTGGGGTGAATAAATGAAACAAGACTGGCTATGAATTGATAATTGTTGAAGCTGATGTTGAGTTCATTATACTTCTTTCTCTTCTTTCGTATGTGTTTGAAGTTTTCTTTAGAAAAGTTTTTTTAAAATCAAGGAAAAAATCTCACCTGCTGCATATTCAGATAACAGGTTTTTTTAGATTAAAAACGTATTGCATTATCTTTTCCTTTTTTGTAAAAGACATAAGTCAACCCTTCTTTATTCTTACATGATGTATTTTTGTGAACTTTTTTAGGTGAGACCCCCCACCACACTCTAGTCCAGTCCCCTTGCCACCAGTCTTCCTACCTCCTCATCCCTGAGAAATCCTTGGTACTATTCAAATAGGGATAAAGCAGTGGGAATGGGCCACTGGTGTCCCCTGTGCATTGACTTGGAGGATGCCACTGTGAGCAGCACTGGGCTGAGCAGAAGGGGATTTTGATTGTTTCCAGGTGAAATGTTCTCTACTCCTAAGGTGAAAACGTGATCTCAAATATTTACAAATTGTAGTAAGATTTGAGTATTGAGATTATGAAATGACTCTGTGAAATTGTATTGTCAGAGTAATATTTTTAATTTGCCTTTTTAAAGATAGAATTGATCTATTTATTTGATTTTAGTACTAAATTATCCTTTTTGTCCGTGGAGGGAACAGATTATCATGAGAAGTGTAGATAGGGACTCTGATATTTGAATTGCAATACCCAAACAGAGCCTTTTTTATTTATCATTCATTTCATTTTCTGAATGTTGGTTCTCCAGCAATTCTCAGTGAAGGAGTTCTACCTGAAAATCATTCCTTGGCGCCTTTACACCTTCCGAGTTTGCCCAGGAACAAAAGTAAGTTGAACCTTATATCTGGTTCATGCTGAGAAGGCTTCAACTATGGAATGTCTCAGCCTTTTTTTTCCCAGAAGGGCTTTTGGTGTCTCTGAAAGTTTTCACTGTGCATGCAGGATTCGTTGCCAGACAAAGAAAGCATCACTGTCTTCTCACTAAATAGCATGAAAAATATATAGATTCTAGAAGGACATGTGCCTACAGAAACAGGAATTAGTCGCAACTCATAATACTTCAACAGTTATCTTTGTCTCCAAGACTAAGCTAATAAAGTGGGTGTCGTTAATGCTGGCCTAAGCTTGGTCTCCTCGAGCTCTTTTATTATTATTTTTTATTTTATTTATTTATTTTTTCCTTTTTGTCTTTTTCCGTGTCCGGCAACGGATCGCAACCCTCAGAGTCGCGCCCGTACCGGACCGGGACCGGCAACGGG